TTGAGGACAGCTATTTGAAATAGTGTTGGAGGAAAACTGTTTGAAATAGTGTTGAAATGACAACTCTCGCTTTCGGTACATTAAGCAACCATCGACAAGAACTTAGAAATCCTTACGGTGAAAACGCTACTTGAGAAATAGACTCGCAGTGGTTTTGGACCAGGTTTGTTGCAATGATTTTATTATGCGCTGCAGAAAAGGTTGGCTGGAGCCATTTTGCGGATTTGATCTGCAGTAACTAATAGAGGCTTAACACCATCTTGAAAAACTTGTTGGATTTCAGTTTTAGCTGGTTCGGTAGCTGTAATGATAATTTTTTTGTGTGGTGAATTACCGACTTGATTTGAATTACCGCCTGGACAAAACCTGTAATTTTACTATACTGAATGTTGAAATCGTAGCTGAGTTAGAATAGCGGATCAACGCTGAAGGCGGTTGACAGTGCAAAACAAAACACTCTTTTTAACTTCACAAACTGCAAGCAGTGGTTTGTGATCTGTCAAAAGTCTAAATCTTCGGCTATAGATCATCCTGTAAAACTTTTTAGAGCAAATATCCGGGCAAGTACTTCCTTTTCAGTCTGACTGTAATTCTTTTCCCACAGTCAATAACGATCTAGAAACATGACAGAGTGCTTTTTCAGTGCTATCTGGGAACCGCAGAGAAATGGCGGCTTCAATGCTGCAATCAGAAGCGTCCATTGTTACGATGATGGGAAGGCACAGATCAGAACGAATTAGCAAAAGACCGGACTTGAAGATTTCTACGATTTTGGAAAAAGCTGTTTGGTAGTATCGAGACCGAATAAGTGTGATGTCCTTGCGGAAAAGATTGTTGAAGGGAGCCCATAGCTTGTTGAGTTCCTTGATGAAGACACTGCAGTATCTGATTAAGCCAAAGAATGTCATTAGATTCAGATATATTGATGACGATGTGGGAATGTCATCAGATTCAGCATATTGGTGATGGCTTGAGCACTGGCTGGATCAGGTCGACAACTGTGCGGAATGATCGGAAATTATGGATCGATTGTACAGCCAAGGTACTCGTTCTGAAGCACGACGAAGCGACATTTTTCAAGGAAACGCTGACCAAAATTAGAAATTCGCGTAAGGAGAGTCTTTAGATTCTAATTGCGCTTTGTTTTGTTCCTGTCTAAAACGACGACACTGTCGAGAAAAAAGGTGGCATCCGGAACACCGGAAATTATGGAACATATTATTTGCTGAAAGATTCCAGGTGCTGACTTTACTCCAAATGGAAATCAGCTGTAACGGTAGAGCCCTCGATGAGTATTGGTGGTGGCTTTTGGAATCTCTCGGGAGTTCAATTTGAAGAAACACATCCGTAAAGTTGATGCGAGAGAGAACAGGGCCGCCATCAAGTGTTGCGAAAACATCTTCCAGAAGTGGAAGAGGATAGCGGCATAATTTGAGCGCTGCGTTGGAAACCAATTGAGACGTCTGCACAAATATCGATTAAACCACTACGCTTTTTAATGCAACAGATGGGATTGCCCACTGGCAAGTAGATCTTGGAAATAAAAACCGAATTTCTCCAGTCTGTCGAGTTCGGCTTCTACTGTGGGGATGGCTGCGTGGTAAACATGACGATTTTAGCAGAAAACTGGTTGAGTTCCTAGGCGAAGTCGTAAGGCAGCTTTGGAAAGCTTAGAACGGCCAAACCTTTTGCTTCAAATATGGAAAGCGAAAGTAGAGGAAGTGGTCCACGTCTGAAGCTTCCGGGATCCTGATGCATGGTAAGTTCTGTGCTCCGCCCGAATGTTTGTCAAGAAGTTGGCCAAGAGCGCCTAATCTCATAATCCATTGTACTCTCAGAAGGTTACTCTTGCCGGATCTGGCTATCTATCAGGTACCAAAAAATAATTTTCAGAGGAAACTGTACTTTTGGCAGCTGACCACGTAAAAGAACTGAAGTGCCAGTAAAACTTACTGCTGAGATTGAAGCGATTATTTCGAGTTTTTGTGCGCCTGTCTTCTTCCATGTAACCGAGAAATGACAGTCGGTTTTGAGCCTGTGTCAATTTGAGGTTTAATCGGTGGTTATTGATGGAGAGTGCCAGATATCGGCGATAATTTTTATAATCTGTAGACATCAATGCATGGATTCCACTGAATCTAGCCTTCCTGAGCAACTCACATTTGCGCAAATTGGCAGATTTGGGTTCTGCGTGAAATGGTTGACGTTGAAGCAGTAACTTTCCATGTGGCTCTTCTTTTCTTGTATAGCGAACAAGTATGACCTGATACCGTACATTCACGTTTATAATACATGTTTCCATAAAATAATAAGGTGTTTAAAGTTGTCGTCTGAGCAGTTTTGCTGGCTTATGATAAAGTCTGATAATAACAGCAATACTGCCATGAATAGAGGCGAAACTAGTCCGCACCAGTTCGCTGTCCTATTTCAGACTAATCAAGTGTTGTCAGTCGGCCACCACCTTGAGAATTATAATATCATCACTTTTCTCAATTTTGGTAAGGAGTTGTAAGCGAATACTGGAATCTTTACAAGACTGTAGACCATAGACGAACAAAAGGTGTTTGAGCTGATTTTCGCTTAGCGGCCTCGACTGAAACCGTTGGCAGTCAAGACTCTCTCTCTC